CTTAAGTCCCCTTGATACCAGTGAGAATAATTTCCATAGATGTATGCATAGAACTGAAGCTTTAGTTTCACTTCCATAGCTACCCTGTGTTTCTTAAATTGTTGCCCTAGCAATGGCAACAATGCTTAAACACATAACTGATATGCTTAGCTAAGACATAGGAACGTTGGTGCCAGGTGTATTTAACTACAGTTTCTGTCAACCACAGTGGAGAATAGTCAGGTTGTGGAAACTGTAGTCTAAAGTATCTCCACAACACCAGTCCATAGCTCTTTATCATGAATGCTTATATCTGTTAATTCCTTTGACATGCTTGAATTATATTGTACTATACATTCAGCATCTATTTTTACCTTTGTTCAGAATATTTAACAACAAATTTGTACCCATTTCATTCACTTTAAAACTGTTGTATCATCATGTCATTAATTTAAAGTCTATGTGGCAGAATGAAATGCACTCAATATACAACAAGGCAATATAACTATATTGTTGCTCTTCCTGATTTAAGAGGATTATACAAGCAAAAACAGAGATGGGCAGATAGTCATTGGTCAGGTTCTTTGACATCTTAGCCCTCTGTGGAATTTAAGCTGCAAACCAGAGATATTCTCAGGACAGAGATGTTAATTAGGTCAACAACCAACAGTCAACTGGCTACAAGACCAAGAAATGCAGGGCAAAAAGTCTATTAAGCAATGGGAGGGGTGAGAAAAAGAAGTACCAGAAGTAGACTATAATGGGTATAAAAAGGAAACTACACCTTCATGTTGACTAAAGGCAATCAATTTTTTGGGTGGCTGCTTCCTAGCATGCAATAAAGATTCTTATCTAGCTATGTGCTGTTATTGTCTGAGAGTCTTCAGCTGAGTTCAAACCTAAGAACTTAGCTAGGCGGGTTTTTTTGTTTGTTTGTTTGTTTGTTTGTTTTGTAAATGCTGCTTTAGGATACAGGAAAAAGAGAAAAGAAAAAAGGTACCTAGAAGAATTAAACAAAACAGAAAAAAGAAGAAAAAGTATTATAATATGTATGGAAAGTCTTGAAATAGAACATTAAACCCTGACAACATGAAATAAAATTGGTTGGTCTTTCCATTAAAATGATAAAGAGATAGTTCATAAACAAAGAGAGAACACAGATCATCAATCCAGTGCTGAAAATCGGGGATAGAATTACTGTGCCATCATAAAAGTTTTGTGTGATTGATTTGCTACTCCCCATGCTTGGTAAATCAATATCTCATCATATAATGATAAATTCCACATTTTGGTTTAGAATTCAAAATCGTGTTCACATCTTTAAATCATATTACTGTTCTCAAAACCTATTAACAAATTTGTGGACATTAGATCACAATGGGGCAATAATGACAGAAATTCAGATAATAGGTAAGAGATTCTTCCATCATTTTACAGTATATTTTCAGCATACTGAGGTTCATAGCCAATGCTTTTTAAACATTTTCTGGGGTGTCTAGTAAACATGGGAGAAGATATTTGGCTGAATTAATCTCATCTTAAGATCACAGGAGACATGCTCGATTTTTATATATCGTTGTTGTTATTGTTATTATTTCTTTGTATTATTTCTTGCTGCTTTTAATCCCTTCTGTGCTGCTCAGAATCCCTATTGTGAAATGGGTGGTTATATAAATTGAATGAATGAATGAATGAATGAATGAATGAATGAATGAGTAATGTTCTTTAAGATTAACCATTGATTTGTTAATATGAGATATTTCAAAGTTCATGCCAACACCTAATATTCATCTTAACAATATTCTTTAACTGTCTACAGAAAAATACCATAGATTTAGAACTGTCCAAAATACATTTCAGTGCTGATTAGGAGTTTTTAGAGGCTGCTAATGCATCTGGACCAAATTGAGAAATGAAATTGAAAATACTGCCAATTTGCACTTTTAGATTTTCCAAATTCCTCTTGCACTGCATCAAATGAATCCCATGTTGCATGTCCGCTGAACAAAACTGTCATCTGATGGGATCCAGCAAGTGGGCCTTCTCTGTTGCAGAACCTGCCCTCTCGAACAGCATCCCCACAAACATTTATATGGCCTCTACTCTTGTTCAGATGGCTCTTAAAACCATGGCTTTTCCCCAGACCTTGGGTTAGGGTGAGTGGCAGGCCTTTTATGGGAATATGTATGTTAGCCTGCTACTTTTATGGCTTTGACTGGACATCATTGTTCTTTCTTCTTTCTTACATTGTTTTCTACTGGTTTTAGTGTTGTTTGCTGTCCAGAGTTGGAGTTGGGTTGTCTTATAAATGAGAGACAGACAGACAAGTATATGAAAAAGAGATATGACTTAAGTCATTAGTGTATGATTTAAAAAAAAAAAAAAACCCTACCATTTTCAAATTGGGATTATCCAACAGTGAAAATTCATGATGATCCGCAGCTAAAGTAAAAACCTATTCAAAGAAGATCTGTAAAACATACATTATTTTTACCTACCATTTTCAAATTGGGATTATCCAACAGTGAAAATTCATGATGATCCGCAGCTAAAGTAAAAACCTATTCAAAGAAGATCTGTAAAACATACATTATTTTTACCTACCATTTTCAAATTGGGATTATCCAACAGTGAAAATTCATGATGATCCGCAGCTAAAGTAAAAACCTATTCAAAGAAGATCTGTAAAACATACATTATTTTTAGAAAGTTCCTTGTAACTGATAAACAAAGTAACATTATTAAAACATTAAATCACCACTATTTTTAAAAATGGCTTTCTGGATAACTTATTTCCTGTTACTGCTACATATTTTTAGACTTGTTACTGTAATCAAAATTACTAAACACTGAGCAGGTGCAGTACTCAAACTATGCTGAGCCAAATGCTTAGGAAATACTACCAAGTTCTTCTCATTGAGTCTGAAAGTCCCTTCACCCCCATATCTTCCCTTGTCAGACTAGATTTGGTTTTAAATATCCCAGCTCCCAAACTTAAAACCACTTCTGCTGCAAAAGAAACGCCATCCTAGAGGAAGAGACTGCTGTGGTTCTCTGTTGGCACTCATAGGTCTGTGTTATCCTTGCTTCTGATAAGAATTTCCTTTGATAATAGACCAATCCTACAGTATCCCAAGGACAGCAATAGTCAGTCAGAGCAACAGGTACATGGGCATTAGGTTTAGCAAGAAAAGATGGGGAGGAAGATGCCACAACCAGACTGAGCTCTAACTTATTGGATCTAAATTCATCCTGCTATGAAATTGCTCATGACAGAGGCACTTATAGCACCACTAGCAAGTAGGACTAACTCCTCTATGGGGAAGGGGGGAGAGGGAGGGGGGATCTCTATGAGGTTTGGTGAAAGCTTGGAGAAATACAGGTATAGAGTTGCCATCTTAGCCTGCTTGTCCCTAGATTAATTAGGTTGGTATGATAATTTGGCACCTAGTAACCCTCAGCCATAGGAAGTTGGTGGGTGACTTTGAGTCAAGAAGTATTTCTAGCTCAGCTTCATAGGTTGCTGTGGGGAGCAGTTGGACAAGACTATGTCTATATGCTACCTTAAGCTCTTAGGGGGAAAATAAATAAATCAATGATGATATTGATAATGATTGCTGATAGATGATGATATGCCCCTACAATATTGGGCATAATGTATCTTCTTCCAGGTTTATGTTAGATTCACTTAGGTCATCATCAAAACCTGTTCAGAAGCACTAGTGTTGATCCAAGCACTAGTTCCCTAAGTACTAATAGAGAAATGGCAATCAGAGCTTACACCTTCAGGCAAAGCAGCATTACTGGTTTGAAAGCATTTTACTTGTTCTACTGCTCATTGAAAAGATTTATCCGATGCCTTTATGTCATCATAGACCACTTGGAACATCCATCCATTCCAGCACAAAGGTAGCTGAAATGTTCTACACTCACTTAGAAGTGGCGCAGAAACTCTATGTCATATAAGACCCAGTAGCATCAGTCCCCATGAAGTTTCTTGGGAAGAAATGCTACCTGGCCCAGTGACTGAAAAAATTAGATTCACACTGCTGATAGGAATCCCAGTAAGAGAAAGAGACAGTGGGAAAACAAGCTTCTTGTGAATTGGACCCCATGCAATGGTGAAGTTGTATAAGCGCAGTCTATATAGAAGTGCACAGCTTCACCGAATCCAATGATACTTATATCTGAATACAGTCTATGTATTCAGAAATAAGTATCATTGGCTTCAGTATCGCTTCATTATTAAACTTTTATAGCATACATGCATATTCTAAGCCAGCATACAAGGCACCTCCAGCAGAATGAATGGAATGAAAAAAAAAAATGAAATTATTTGGGATGAAACTGAAATGAGGGAATGCTGAAAGGAATATTTTTGAGACTTGTATAGGAATGATACACCGAAAGGTTGAATTGAAATGTATGCTTATGGTAATATGCAAGAAAAAGGTAGTGGAAAGGGAAGTCATAAATGCTGTAAGAAAGTTTAACAAATGGTAAACCTGCAGGTGAAAATGGTATAATTGAAGAATTAAAAAAAAAAAAAAAACAGACATAGTTTGCTTTTAGAATAGCAGCCCAGATACTAAAATTGAAATGATACAGAGAAGGAAGGATGTGCACATGAGCACCGTACCTGTGCTTGACAATTGGATGAATGCTATTATTGTTCTGTTGTACAGAGTGAAAGGTAACAAGAGCGTATGCAAAAAGTACAGTGAGATTAGTTTAACTGTGCCTGGGTAAGATTGGCAGAATTCTGATCAAAGTGATCGAAAGTGGATACTGCTGAGGCTGTATTGTGATGCCACAGTGAGGTAAGATGTCACAATACTGGCTTATATGTATGTAGACCCTCTCATTTGTTGATTATATTGATGCCAGACGTCTTTTTCTTTTGAAGGAGAATGTTGGAGAGAAAATTGGAAGGGGCTGGTGAGCTTCTCTTCAGCAGCTCTTAGTTATTCCACCTGAATATTAACAATAAACTAGTGTACCATTTTTGAATGCCTTGCCATATGGCTCACTACAAGCATCTTTATGCAAAAAAACAGAATTCCCTGGACTTGTTTCAATTCTCTTCCTTTGTTCCTGAAACAATGGCTTCGGATAACACAGCACGCTTGTAAGTAGAAGCTAACGCTTCCAAATACATGTTTGGAATGGTCAAGTGGATGGCAAAGGGAATGACTTCTTGGTGTTTGCTTCTAGGCATGTCAGTTAGCAGATAAGCCTTCCCCAGCCTGATACCATTCCAGCATGTTGGGCTGTACATCTCATTAGTCTTAGACAGCATGTCTAGGGCTGACGGGGAGTGAAGTCCAACACACTGAAGAGCACCAAGTTGGGAGAGGCTGTGATAGAAAATTCCAGGCATTCCATAGGATATGGATTATGTTCTTAGAGTACAGGTTCCCTCAGGCTGAGGCCACACTTGCTGTTTGAGAACTATGCTCCCAAAAATAAATGAGGGCAGGACTGAAACTATATCTATTGTAATTTAAATGTAAACAATATTTACATTTAAATTAGAATTTAAATTCATTAATATTTAATGATTCAATACAGTTAATATAATTATTCGCTACATATTATGTATCACATTAATGTTATAATTTTGTAGCAAGCTTTGGAGAGACTTTGGGGGGCTTTTGTATGTCAGAGTGAGGCTTTCTTGCATCTTAACAGAAGGAATAGGATAAAGAGGTCTCGTGATAAAGGTCATGATGACTGGCTCAACTCCTCACAGGATACTGCTTTCATCTACTTATCGAATGTCCCACTTTCACATAAGTTAAAATTACATGACAGTAAAAGAATAGAGGACAAAATCTTCACTTGCTTTTGTATGGGCTACTTTATATATAGAAAAGAATTGTACTACAGATAGAAAAGAATTTGAGAGGGAGGTTATGTAAACTTAGTTTTACCTCTGCAGCCTTCCTTGGTGTGGCACTGATTATACCTTCTTCATCTTTAGTTATCTGCTATCAGCTCCCTTTGTATCTCTGGGAGGACTTTCACCATACGAGAAAGAGATATCAAAGGTAAGTGTAGCTTCTGATGGCGATGGCATCAAAGGAAAATGATACACTGAATGCTATAGAATACCTACTCCCGAATTAAGTTAATGACATAATCCCATACAATTCAATGAATTGAAAACGGAATAGTCATATCTTAGGACTGCCTTACCTGGACTATTAATATCCAATTGACCACTCATTATTACCTGTGATTCTTTCATTAGAGTTATAAACTGAGGTATATAGGTCACAGTGCAATTGTGTATATGATGCCATCCAGAGGTTATCTGAATGTCTTAGCTCAGATATAAAAGTTGTATCATATATACAATTGCACAATAATTTAGCTTACATGAACTAAAGACTCTACTATATTATTCCTATGTATTTACAAAATTTACTAGTAAAAGCGATGCTGCAAACTGTATGTGCCTCAGTTAACTACACTACTGGAAGAAGCAAAGATAATTCTGCTGTACTAGAGGCTTGCAGTCAATATTAAAAATTCATTATCCCTTGTCTTTTTGCCCCAAACCTTAATTCCTTGACTAGATCTCCTGCATTTCAAGCTCCATTCCATCAACATTACAGATCCCCTTTTTTCTTTAATTCAGCATGAAATTTTCATGAAATCCTGTTTCCTTCACTGCTACCTTCAGTTTTTTGTTTGTTGGTCCTCTGTCTTTCTCCACCTGCCTTCTTGACACAGAGATTAGGTTCTAAGGTAATATTAAGCCATAGTTTTCTTAACTATGGTTACTTTAATAAACCACAGTTTTTGGGTTCAGTCAATATGCTTAGCCACAAAAAAATCATATTATGACTTAGCATGATATATGAACCAGTTTTTCTCATGTCTCCTTCCATCAAGCTGTACTCTTGTTCTTCCCTACTGATTTGTAATCTTTCTAGATGAACTCTTTGCTAACTTCTCACCCACAGCTGTATAGGATAATAATATTTTATATTATATTTGACCTTTCTTCATTAAGAACTGGAATGCACATTAACACTATAGTGGGCAAAGCTCAGACAACATAAGGGAGATACCAGCATGTGCTGAAATGGCCATCCTAGATCATCCTGCAAGTATTATGTTTCATACTGAGAAAGGAAATAACAATGGTCAGATGGAGACTACTATGACTTTACAAAAGCGGCAAGCTTCTTCCCCTCTGGATAAAAAAGCACAAGAAAATGGTTATGGGTTTTCTTGTCATAAATTGCCTAATATAGGTTTCTCATTTGAAAGTAGAGTATTCATTGGAATGCTTGTGTTGCATTTTTAGTTTTCCTTCTAACAACAACTATTAACCAGAACTCTTACAGCCTCATTCCTCAGATGATCTATTTCCAGTCCAGATGGCTAAGAAGGGAAACCTGACCACACCAAAAGCCACCTCAACTGGGTAGCTTCAGCAAATCCTAAAGGTACCCAGCTTTGAAGGACATTGGCATTGCTGGAGGAGAAGGCTAAGAAGAGACTTTTCCTACCAGACTGCTCAAAGCAATTCAAGGGCATCCAAATTGATGTGTTGAGACAAATTAAGAGTGTTTTTGTTTCAGTGAAGTAAAGCATGTCATCTTTACAGGATAAATCACTTTGTCAAGATGTATCTACACTGTGTGCACAATTATTAGGCAAGTTGTATTTTTGAGGACGAATTTCATTATTGAACAACTACAGTGCTCTCGGTCAATCCAAAATGTTAATAAACCTCAA